AAAGATACCCTGGGTACGAAAATAATGCACGTCGAAACGAGCAGAAACCTCGGGTCAGTCAAAAGTAGCGGTCTCCCTCCGCTGCCCCCGGGTGGCGCTGGTCCCAGCGCATGTGGATGTCTTTGCGGTGAGCAAACGATTTGGCAGGTGCGAAAGTATGAGCGAGTGCGATGCGTGAGTGTAAATGTGACAATTGCGTATGGGAATATCGCTTCCCTAGCGATTTTGCGGATTAAGGCCTCTGCGTCGGGTTAAAAGAGGGCAAGTGCGTTGAGACTGTAAATATGACAGCTGCGGATGGGAAGACGCTTTCCTAGCGAATTGGTGGGTAATGGCTTCTGCGTCAAGTTGAAAGAGGGCAAGTGCGCTTGAATCGTAAAGTGCGTATGCTGAGTACAGGGACCTGATGTCTTTCGGAGCTGCGGGGTTCTTGCTTACGATGCGCGCATGTTGCGACGAACCGTCTGTGCGTGCTGCATTGCCCAATTCCATCAATTCCCCGTACTCTAAACCGATAACGTCGGCTTCTGCGTTTTTATTATTAATCGCAGAAGGCTGTGTGGTGCTCGCGGGACTTACACGCCTTACACTTTTTTGTGACATTGCACTCTGTCTCCGAGTGCAACTTGCCGCATTTAAAGCATCTACCCTTATTAGCATGCAGTCGAATGCGCTCAGACACCTTGTTGACCACGCGACAGCCTGATGAATAGTGGTGTGCACCGCAGAAAGAAGCAGTTCGAAGGAGCTGGAGGGGGGTCGCGGTCCGGCAAATTGGTGTCTGTTATGCTAGCTAGCAGCGCTGGTGACTTTGCGCGTTCCTGAGGATAAGCGACGCTTGGAGTGGTGGACTGCCTCTTGCGATGGTGGTTGGAGCGGGAATCGCAAAGGTGAGGTGGCCCGATCTATAAACTCGCTAAGCGCATGTGCATTGACAAGTTGGACAACGACGAAGTGGCGGACCGGACTGCTGGATGGTGTTGACTTCTTTCGGTTGATCGTACGCGATGCCAGGTGGATGCTGGAAGTAATGCGGATGCGGATACAATCAATGATGAGTGCGTAGATAGTGCGCTTACCTTTGCGAACATGTCATGTAACGATTGCATTGGAACAACTATGTGCTGGTTAGGCACTTCGAAAGCGATTACCTCAAAAAAAGGGGGTTGGGTCAAGCGTGTTATGTTACGACGGTACGTGATG